TAATTTGTAAGTTATTTTCAGTTATTCTCTGTTGTAATTACATTCACTAATATAAGTTTGATTTTAGTTACATTTACTTTCATTTATTATATATTATATATATCTTGGTAAGTTATACACCGCCTTATTTATTTTAATAGTTTTATCTGTTATTTATTTTAATAGTAATCAATTGAATAAATTATATATATATATATATATATATATATATATATATTAAATGACATTTTTTTAATTAATTAAATTATTACTCTTTTTAAATTAATTAATTAATACAATACATATAAAATAAAGCTTATACAATAAAGCTTAAACAAATACATACAATAATTATTTTACACCCCCCCATCACACACCATCACCACCTTTTCTTTTAAAAATATAAATGGACACATACCCCACAATTTCTTATTGTCACAGGCGCTACTTCAATCCACAGTAGTGGAGGGGCCACCTAGTATGAGACCAAAACCATTACTAACACCACGGCGCAAGCCATTATCCAAATGGGCTTGCTCGATGGACGCTCTAAAGCTTGAATTTGATAAAATCTATTGATGATTGAAAAGACACATCCTTCCTCTATTTCAAATAGTCCATAATTATATATCAAACTGCCTTCGGAACTGGCTGAAATCAACCACAGATCGTTCTACTGACCCCATAGATACAATATGTCTCAACACATGAACTGCACAAACCTACTGGACCTAAACTTCTAGATGTTCTCTGTTGAAAAAAAACAAAAAAAAGCTAGACGTTGACAACCCTGCCCTGTTGCTAAGACATCATTCATTATTCACAAAAATTACAGTTTTTCTCTCAAAAATTACTTTGATGGTTATTTTTTTTTTTGGCAAAGAAATTTACATTGATGGTTAATTGTCTAAATAAAGCAAATAGATTTAAAAATTAAGTAACTGTACAACATACAAATTGCAGACTTTAAATAACAGTCCTTATAATATATATCGAAGTGCACTGATAACATTACTATAAACAAAAATCCATATTCAATTGCATTTTCTTGAATCAATCGCGAATAATAAAATTTTCATCAGAAACCTAAATATGATTACTTCCTATTTTTCTCGGTAACCAAATAGAGTCTAGTAGTATTATAACTTTTTTTTTAATTACAAGTGAAATGGGTTCGGTTCCAAACAAAAAGAAAGAGAAGAATCGATGAAGTAATATACGAAATACGAAAAGAAAATCTAGAAAATTAAGTTGGTTTCGATGCTACCTTCGGTCCTCCGCTGCTCCTGAGACGTCCCACTCTCATCTATTCTCTTTTGCCTCATCTCTCCCATTTGGGGTTTCCTTCAAGCTAGATGCGGTTTCTTCATCTCCCTCCTCAGACTGACCAAAACCCTAATTCGTATTTGATTGAAAATGACGAAACTCAACAGCAAGAACCATCTCAATTTCCTCAAATCAAAACCCTAGAAATACCAGATCCCCACAACCCCGAACAAACCGAGGTCACTCAACACCAAGATCCACCATTCAATCTCCAGAATTTTCAGAGGGAAATCAGATCCTCTAGCCGTTGATGTATGCTTCTCCCTCCCTCAATATATAATTGATTGTATGGGCTCCTAGTAGCCGTTGTAGTAGTAACGGACGCGTTTTTTGGTTTCAGGGTTTCTGTTTGCTGGATTGCGGTACCTTGGTGGCTTGGTGTACGTGTTTGGTCGTATTTGAGTAGGCTCCATGCTTGGGCTTCGTGCTTATTTTGTAGTCATTAATTTTGGTTATTTGGGTTTTCCTTGCTGGGCTTTCAGGCCTGTCTCCTTGGGTTTGTTGTAAATATTCGCTTTTTTTTGGAGCCCAATGTAATTTTCATACACATCCAAATATACTTTGCTTGAATTTATGGGGGCAGGGGAAAAGAAAATTCTTTAAGGGCATGTTTGGTGGTGGAATGAATTAGAATGGAATGAGAATGGAGGTGGGAATGGAATGAGAATGGAGGTGGAATGAGAATAATGATTCTAATTCCACCGTTTGGTTGTAAACATGGAATATCTAAAAATGTAATCTCATTCTCATTCCTATGTTTGGTAAGAAAGTTAGAATAGAATGAATTTATATTTTTTATTTAAATTACATTTTATTATTAGTAAAAATTAACTAAAAAAATTAATTTGCAAAAATAAAAGGGAAAGAGATAATAGAGAGAGAAAAATAAACGAGATAGAGAGAGGGGGAACAAACAGCATATAGATACATATTATATATATATATATATATATATATAATAGAGAGAGAAAAATAAACGAGATAGAGAGAGAGGGAACAAACAGCATATAGATACATATTATATATATATATATATATATATTTATATATATTTTATATAATGTGTGTATGAGTGAATTATCTCTTTAAATTATTTTATTACTTTATTAATTCTTCGTGGGAATGGAATGGTCATTCCACCTCTCAAGAAGTGGAATGGGCATTCCACCTTTTTAATGAAATGGGCATTCCCTAGGAATAACCATTCCACTTTTAATGTGACACACCAAACAAGAAAATGGAAACAAATGCATTCCATTCCACCTTCATTTGATTCCATTCACATAAAAGTAACAAAAAATTACATAAAAGAACTTGGGCTTTCTATGCAATGCTACCCTTCTGCTGCAATGTTAGGCTTAATAACTAATAAGGATTTGCAAGATAGACTATCGTTAGAAAGTTCTTGTTTCCACATTAGATTCGGATTGGGGACGATCTTAATTTTACAATAGACGATATGCAATGCAACATTACCTAGCTTAAGGTTTTAAGTCAAATAGCAAGTGTTTGATCCATTACAAGTCGTATAAGAATAGACCAGTTCCTTGATTTATTGTCACGTCAAGCGTCCTGATCCAATTGAGTTAATCTCATCTCAAAGAAAAAAATTCTTCATTCAACTAAATAAATTACTACAATCAATCAACAATGCCTGGCATACATCTTCAGCCAAAGTCTCACAACCATTTCACAGAAAAATTGGCCTTACTTATGAGCAGCCACACTACCTGATCTCCACACACAATCAGCTTAGTTCAGATCAATTTTGATCATAACATTAATGAAGGCAGAGTCGTCCATCATGTCTATAATATGTTGAGATTATTAGGTTGTGGTCAAGGAATAGGTAGATCAGATTCACCAACAAATGTACAAAAAACCATGTTAGGCTTACACCACTCGACAAAACTGCAAGGACAATCCCAATGAATATGTTAAGGTTACAAAATCATAAACTTAACTCCATCTTCTTAATACCACTGCGGCCTAATCCAAGTAGGTCACAAGACTCAAAAAAGAGGCAAAAAAAAAAAAAAAAAAAAAAATTAATAATGAAAAGAAAAAAACCTGTCATTCAACTAAAATACCTTCTTTTAACTAATGAACATCAATTGGCAATGGAATCCATGACCCTCCGGAAGGCCGATTCGTCGCATGGCAGAGCAATGCCTTTCTGGCTATGGAAACCATATTCCTCTGCAGCCTTTTGCAACAGTTGCTTAAAATTGGGACTCTTCAAGTAAGATGTAGGAACAACAAACCTCCTCATCTCATTTCCTACATAGACCACAAAGTGTCCCTTTGGGGCCATTTTGGCCTCTTCGCTGGCATGTATCTTGGGCATTACTATAAGGTGACACGCACAATACACTTAAATGTAGAAATGAGACTTAGGCATGTGTTCTTGAAAGTGTTTCATCTATATATATAGATGTTAAGATAGTTTATAATTATCTATTTCAACAGGAAGAATCAGGTAATCAACCGAAAACGTTGACAATTTGGACTAATTAACTTCAAGGAAGCTCACAATCACAGGTACAAAACGCACAATTTGTTGATAATATCAAGTGTTCATTAACTCTTGTTGATCTGCAGAAGATATGTTGTGCTCAAGGAAACTTGGCTGCACATGGCATTGTCTGCTATGATAAAAAAGCAGACGCAAACCTCCTATATACGCCAACCCATACAGATCTGGAAACAAAAAACACAAGTAAAATCAGAAGATTGAAGAAGTTATAATTATCTGATTATCAATTCATGCACGTCTCAATTCGTAAGCCACCACACGTCTGCCAATTCCATATATGGCGAATAGCTTCCCCGCCAAATAATAATAGACTTGTTCAATCGGTGCCTACCTTGAGAAGACCTAATTAATTAAAATGCATGCACTGTGGTGGTTACACTTCTGCATCCTGAAACAGTGTCATTTTGGTTGTTTTTGAAGGCTCTCTCAATGTATTTATTTGTTTCACGGAAGGCACATGCATTACTTTTCTGGCTAGCATTGTTTCACGTTGTAGGGAGTTGGGGAGCAATGCATTGTATTCAGAACAATTACATCAATTCATAGTTTTATTGCATAACAAGTCCACGAGAAAATTTATGCATCTCACACACACACACACACAGCTATTTCATTCTATATAGACTAGGAAATTGCATGGAAATTTTTTACCACATAATGTTCACAAAGTTGATATATATATATATATAGAGCATGTGTTTATCATACATCAAACTATACAACAGATAAATAAGATATCAAATGGTTTTTTTCTACAGAATGTAGATCCACTAATGCACACAATGTAATGCACCACTAGAACCCCATTACTCCAAAAAGACCATTACAACTGTTCTGTTTTACATCTCTGATAACCATAGATTAAGCATTCAATATTGTATTTCTTCTTGATCAACTTAAACCCTTTATCACAAATAAATAAATAAAACCCTTTATCATCCACACACTCCTTCAACCCTCCACAAAATAATACAAGAGTAATAATAGCAAATTATTAAAAAAAGATTTGACAATAATAAGTTTAGATTCTCAAAGAGTTCTAAGAATTCATTGAAGTTCAATCTTCTAGGAAAACAAGAAGCAATTCTCACGCTAAACATCGGCAAAGCATCTAGTGCAGACAAAGCAAAAGAGAAAATAGTTGAGAAAGCATGGCAAATGAAATAAAGCCCATCATTTTATACACTGTACAATCTCATGTACTTAAAATCCACCAAATAGAGATGACAACATCCAGAAGATACATTAACTGGAATAATAATACATCACATGTCCAGATTTAGCAACTGGAAACAAAATTGCCTTTTATTTTACACTGCTGAAATCACGGAACTCATTTCCATGCAGACAAGTAGTCAAAACTCTAGATTGCTAATCGGCATGCTTTTACAGTTGAAACATCGGCTTTTCATAGATAGCAATAGTAGTAGAAGAGAACACAGTAATGAGAGGACAACAACATCACTTCTTTACCAAAGCGAAGAATGTACATCATCTCTTCAAAAGCTTCTGGGAAAAAATCTTCTTGGAAAAGGGGCTGTTGCGCGAGACTGCTTTATGACACTCGATTGCATCAACCAGCAAATTGTGAAGAGGACCCTGATTTCAAAACAAGATACGAACATTTAGACAAATATACACACACATATTTGGCACCTGTGATTGGGTTCCACCTAAAAGGTTTACTAGGTAAATGACGTCATATAAGATGCCTGATGGTTAACACAAGATAATATCAGATCCGATCCAAAATCATCTATATGTTGATTTGTATCATCAAAATCAACTTATTTATTCCACTAAATGTTAGTTATACCAAACATGGGATCATGTGTCTAATTTAAATGCTCCAAAAATCAAACTGGCATCCAGGCAGACCAAATCCTTGCAACATGGTACAGGGGGAAGGGGTGGGGCACACTAGAAAACTAAATTGAAACTTGCTAAAAAAAATGGAGTATAATATAGGAGTTGATTTGACCTCAGAAATCCGAAGAGCTGTTTGAACAACATAGTTAGCATGGGCATCTTGAAGCAACTGCTCAAAGTGAGATGCAGAGAGCAATTCATGGATAACTCTTGATCGGGCTACATCATTAAATACCACAAGACATTTTTCAACCACATGGCTGCTGAACTTTTGTGTTGAGAGATGCACATAATTCCCTTGAAATTGAGAAATCAAGCTGGATGTGGCAGATGGGATCTTTAGCTCCAAAATAAACTGAACAACATAATTTCTGCATAGCACAAAAAATGTATCAATGGTCAAGGAGAAAAGGAAAAGAATGAACCAAATAATGAAAGACCCACATCAATATAAACAAGGAAAAAAAACTCTAACAATTGAAAAATGAACAAAAAGGACAGATGAATGTGATCATCCAATAACCACTTTACCTACATGGTTTGAATGGAATTATAACTGAAAGAGAATGGGGAAAATGCCCCTATGATGTCTAATGCATAATAATACACTAGAGACTCACAAATATAAGCTCTCACCAGTACATCAATCTTCTTTCCAACAAACAAGCCCAGTAGGGGACAGCCACTCAGTGAACTACTTAATCTCATTTCACAGCCACAAACAGAAACACACAAACTCGCGATGCTGAAACTCACAAACAAAACTTGATGGCTTGACACTTGACAATAGTCGCAAAGCTTTTTATTAGATTATGGAAGTCCATTAAGGACAGTCAAATTGAAAAGACGAAGCCCCATAAAACAGAGTAGGGAAAGGTGGGGAGTTTGAATGAGGTACACATGTATAAAAAAGAAACAGGGACACGAGGTACTACTCATAGCAAAGATAAAAGATAGAAAACGAAATTTCTCATGGTCTCAATCCTCAAGGGAAAAGAAAGGGAATAAAATTAGATCAAAATAATAAAATAAACTCTCCTGCCCCCAAACCCCACAAAGACGGATTTTATAAGCAAACCTTTCAAACATGAAGATACGATAATGATCACAATGATAATGACTTTAGCAATGCAATCTAATCTGGTTGCCAAAACGAACTAAAAGATGGAAAAGACCAGGAACTACTGGTTTCACGAAATGTTACAAATTAAATGCAGTTCCAAATCTCGCTGTAAAGAAAAAAATCAAAGCCCGAACACAGAACATCAAGCTTTTAGATTACTGTAAAAGACAAAATCAATGAAATTTGTTTCATGGCCAAAAATAAAATCAATAACAGTATTTCCTCAAAATGTCTCTTGACTAAATTATTGTTAAAACAATCTTTTCACTTAATTACCCAAATGCATCTTGAGAAAGTAGAAGTCCATTTGCAGAAATTTCTGCAACCAACTTTTCTCGATGCTCCCCAGTTGAATGACTGATGCATCGTTGCAGAACACAACACCCATGCTGATGGGTCGCAATGTCAACACAATACTTTGCAGCAGCAACAAAAATGAACTGCCAAATGAAGAAATAGATACGAGTCAAATATATGAGTATATTTAAAATGAAGAGATTGTGATGAATTTATAAAAGTGCCTAACATTCATATTGCTTCAGAACAATGACAATGTATTTGAAATAAGTCAAATAACATGTATTGGTGAAAGTTCTATTGGCTGAGTATGGATACTGGCCTTTGCCCACTCATTAACAACTGCCCTAAGAGTCATATGGAGAAGTTCCTTGATTTTCTTGCAATTTATCAGGACATTCAGGGGCCATTTATTGGGGCAATGATAAAGACTTATCTATCGGCTGTAAGAACACAAGTTCAAGTTTGAGAGTAGCCATTTTGTGCAAATAACATTGAAGGTTAGGTTCATATCTAATCTACCCCTCCTAGCATCCATCATTGGCGGAACAACATTAGGGAATGGATTTTGTTTTACAGGAAATTTCTATCTTGAAAAGTTAAACCATGATAGGAAGGTATGCTCTACCACTTTAACCTGGTCCAAGCTCTTTCTTAACATATACGTTTTGTCTACAAATCATGGCGACATAAGATAAATTGGAAAAGCTCACATAATTATCAGTGACATGCATAATTGTAGTTCGAATGTAAGTTATATATATTTCAAATTTTGATAGTAGATGAAGCATTTTACATTATCTGTTTTTAAGAGACCGAAACACAACGGTCCAGATTGAGTAAAATTCCTCGCTTGGTGACATTGTCCCCCCACCCCAATATATTATACTATGAAGAAGGGAAAATGAAAATCAGTTGATGAGGAACTAACTTAGTTACCATCAATTTATAGGTTCTTTTAGAACGAAAATGACAAATATTTGCTAGAGGTAGCTATACAACCATTGCTTGATGGAACAGAAAAAACTCAGGCTACCAGGTCAACCACTTCGCACAAAACATTTTTTGAAGTTATTACTTGTGTCTATGTCCAGTCAACCATCCCAGCAACTTCCACAGCCATTCCTACACAGGGTTATGGTCCTTTTTAGGCTAGGCATGGTGGACTCAAAGTTCTAATATTTTCGCAAGAAAATTCTAAACAATATCAGTATAAACACACAATTTCAAACGTATACATATAAAACCATATACATTGGTAGTAAGCATGAGATAATCGTAGCTGGTTTAAGGTGCAGTGCTTTTAGAAATTTAAATGCCAATTACATTGCAAAAGGTTGATGCACATGCTAGAGTGCAACAACTCCCATGTATGAGTTACAGTTCTTTACACACAAACATCATCTATTTTCCTCTCAATTGAACTCAACAAAACCTTAATCCTAATTACTTGGATAGGATGCATGAATCTGTTACTACCACTAATCATGTATTTTCTTGCTGTCGTAAGTATTATATAATTGAATGATTCTAAGAAGTCTCCAACAACATTCCTACTTCTCTGAAGATGCTCCTTTATGTCATGAAGTACCCTTGGTGGTTGGTTTTTAGTTGAGTAACTCCACCACACTACTGGGTGCAAAAGGAATTGGTATCTGAACCATATAGAAAAACATAGCTTTCCCTGCACGGGAAGTTCCAGTTAAGGAATTATAGGTTTCATGTTGCATACTGTGAATTATAACGTCCACTCACAATTGACAAGATGCTTTATTATTCATTCTGCCATTTCAGTTTCCAGTATTGATCAATTATCCTCCCCGACCATGCGACAGTACCCTCCAAGATTTGTTTATATATCAAGAAAAAAAATGAATTTGACAATATTCGTTTTCAATACTGTAGGTGATGTCAACAGAATTGTTTTATCCTGACTAAAGGCAAAAGAAATCAGAGTTCAAAAGGAGGTTTCAATTATACACTAAGCAATGTCAAAAGAATTGTACTAACTGGTTAAATGGAAGAGAGATCAGAGTTCTTCAGGAGGGCAATGAAGCCCTTGGTTGAGCTTGCACAGTGGCATATTACAAATGTGATGCCCATGTTCCACAGCACTGAGCAATTAGCAAAATGTGACATTAATGGGACATGTACAACAGTACAACCACCAGCCTTCCAATAAATCAGCTTTCTGAAGTACAACATTCAATTATCCATCATATGAAAGAAGAACATTGACATGGAGAAATTTTTTCACATTTTTTTATTTCAAACCATACAATAACCTTCTATGGAGGACTACTGATCAAACCCTAATAATCATGACATCCAATTTGATAACTTTAATCTTTTTAAAAGTAAGATGGTAAACCAGAACTCTAGTCTAAGCAATTCATTTAGCCAAAAAGTAAAAAATAAAAAACAAAGGAATATCATTAGTCTTATTGTCACATACAGAGAAACCTTCTCTGCATAATTTTTCCTATAACATTATTCCAGCTATAAGCAATGATTGAACGGAAACTAGTCATCATGTCTCTCATGCATCCAGTAAACTATAAGCAATGATTGAACGGAAACAAGTCATCATGTCTCTCATGCATCCAGTAAACCATCAAATAAGGTCATCATTGCTGATCCCAACAGAAACTGAAACTGATTTTTAACCAACTCTTGAGACAAATTTTATAAGATACAACACCTAAACAATTACACATTTTATACCTGGTTCTCATGCTCCAAACGAGAATTTTATAAGCCAAGAAGTAAATAAGTCATATTATGCATAAGTGAATATTTATAATAAAGATGTCAGTAGATCCATTAACTGATTATGATACCCAGATTGCTGAACAAATGAATATTCATAAATGGAAAAATCAGTAGATCAAGCCACAAGTCTACAACCTCCTGATCCTGACCATTATTATAACTTTGGAAAGCTTTGAATCTTCATTATAGAGTTGTTTATGTAACTACACAAATGCAAAGCATGGATTAATTAAAATTTGACACGGCTAGTCCAATTCCATGATCTGTCAACAACATCTCTTGGAATTTTTCTAGAAAACGGCAATTAAGCTTACAACAGTACTAATATGGAAACAAATAGCCTCATGGATTTGCACTGCTGAACCATGTGCAAAATATGTATCTTAATTTATGGTGAAGAAAGCCATGGAGGGTCCAACTAATTGTGAATTATGTGAAATAATATTAATTCCCAATGAATTTGTACATAGCATATACAATGATCTTCAAAACAGTCAGACTTACCAGGTAGATAGAGAGAGAGGAGAGGTGGAGGGGGGGAGATCCGCAAAACAGACAAGTTACAGGAAGCTTTACCATTCAACAAAAAGAAGTCATCTTGTGTAGATAATAAAGTCAAGTGATTTTAAGTAGATAAAAGAGTTTCATTATTGCTTCTTAAAAGGAAAATTTCATACCACAAGAATGTGAGAAGAAATCTTATCAAAAAAAAAAAAAAGAATCTAGTGTTTTATTACCATAGTAACTAATGCATTAAATGGTTATACTTTTGTCTAAAATTTATAATTCACCAGTTCTGAGGTTCATTTATTAATTACTCATCCATGTTCTAGCTAAAAAAAATTCAAAAAGAAATTCATCTGATAGTTGCAAGAGTTTTCAGACATTAAAGAAAATTGGCAAATAATACTAACAAAAAAAAGTCAACAAAGAAAAATATCCACATTCACGAGAGTCCCAAACACCATAAGCCCATAAGCCAAGAGAAAGATGCTTTATACCCCCAGTAAACCTACCAACTATGACTGGTGAGGTCCCTCCAGTATTGCTCTGCTATCCGTTTCATTAAATTAAAAAATAAAATAAAACAGTCGAATGTAATCTGTAAATGTTTCAATTTCCATTAAATATTTGAAGCATAATACAATTAACCATTATGTAACAGTATCAATAGCTGAGAAAACCATTACAAACTGGTATGGCGGTCCTTTCGAAATTTACAGGCATAATGACCGTTAATGGTCCATGATGAACCATTACGACTATAAATGCCTTCTATGGAACAGCCTGCAGCAACGTAAATTTTTTACCCCCATTTCATCTCTTTTTCTTTCAATTTTATTTCTAAAATCTTTAGGTGCTATGAAAGTAGAAATAATTATATATTTACCCTCCAATACAATAAAGGTAATGATCTAACTTTGACCTTAATCAGATTTCATTTTGTAATTTACTTGCTGACAACAACTAAATAATCGATATAAAGATTCATTTGAAGTTTTTTTTTTTTAGATTTAACAAACAAATTTGAAATCCAAATCTATGAGATGTTAGGGTTAAAAAAGCATTTGCAACATCTTGAGTGAGTTGTCCGACAGAAAAGAATCAGAGCTTTGGTATATGCGTATTTTACCTAATTGCCGATCTGTCTTACATCTGCATCCCTGTTACTGTTAACATTATGCAACTGCTACTGGTATTTAAAACCTTTTATTGTCCAAAAAGAATGAAAACAGAATGCAAAAAAATTGGTGGATAGATAATCACTGAAATATAAGCTTCCTCTGGTTTTCACAAAATTTGGGACTAGGGATGGCAACAGGGCAGTTCAAAGTTGGGGCACCCCTATCCCAAACCGATCCCATGAAGTAAAACTACTTCGAGAACCCATCCCTCCCCACCTAGACTCAAGGTCGGGGCAGTGGCAAGTTATCTCAGTAGGCATAAATTGAAATTTATAAATATCCAACAATAACAAATTCAAGATTACTCTCCTCTCCAATTCTGTCCCTGTACCAATTTGGGACAATTGTGCACAACAAAATCACATGTAGTTGTTGACACCATCGTTAGCAATTGTGCTATAACCCTGACATAAAATGCTCGTGTAAAACCAATTTCAATGAAAGACTAAATGGGCACACTTTAAGTTGCATCCACTAAGGAGTAAAAATGTAAACTTTGCATCAAGTTGTCTGTAGTTCCCAAATTTACACACGATGAATCATGAAAAATTTCAAACATGTAATCTTTAAGTTAACCGACAAAGATTCAATTAAGCACCATAAAAGACAAAATGAGATAACTTAGCTATAATAGGCTTTTAAATGTTAAAAATCTTGCTTAAGGAAATTCAATAAGAGAAGTCTATACCTTGTTATCTTCATTGCTAAGACATTGCAAGCATCGCTGAACAACATGATTACCATTGAGGTCCTTGATGAGGGTGAGAAATCCAGGTTCTAGTGCTGAAATAACTAGTGAAATCTGCTGTCTGGTTTTGAGAGTTTCGATCAACTTCTGTACCACACGAGTGCTGATGAAAATAATATTTTTGTTAGATCAACATGAGCAAAGTGAAATGGCAAAGGAAATGTATAGGACTTACCCATGAGTGTTTAAAGAGATCCTAACTAGCTCGCCCCGTTCTTCAGTTGCCATGAGCAGAATCTGCAGAATCTGTTCTTCATTGCACACTTCCAACAGTTTTTGCATGAGGTAATTCCCGAACGGGTTCATCATAAGTTCAACGACATGATTAATGATCTCACCAAATATTATCTGCACATCTTCGGGGGAACCCTCATCAAACATCCTTTGCAAGAACCGACAACCATGTTGATCCTTGGCCATTAAGTATATATAACCTTTAGCTTCAGCCAAGGAGTTACACTTTGCTGGAAGAGAGAAAGGGCAATACACCCTAGCATTCCTACCATTTTCACAAATTCCTGACAATTGAGGACGACCATCAGACTGTGACCTCCTTTCTTGATTTTTTCCCAGACCAATATCATGTAAAGCACCCTTATTATAGTTTCCCCTTGACCGTGGCAATCCCCTGCTGATTACATAATTCAAACCCTCCCCTTGAATGATCAAGCTTTCTTCAGCAGTTAAAGCCCCAAGACCGCCTTGAGGGATTCTAATATCTGTAGGCACTCTGGTCCTCCCATTTGGCATTGGTGGGCAGTAATATAGTACATTTTCCATGCTCTGATGAGGCCTTTGATGAGTCAACTGTGGCATATATGGCGAGTTCAATGCACCCCTTTCTTCATTGATATGCATGCCATTTCGCTGAGCATAGAATAAAGCATCAGCAGCTGAAGGCCTACCTATAGAAGTGCCAAAGTTCGATACTGGAATTCCCCTTTGCAAATTGTTGATAGCCTGTTCTTTTGCTCTGCTACATGGAGAACTCATAGGTCTATAGGAACCATTCGACTGAGAAATCAAACCAGTAGCTCGACGAGGAGAATATCCTGATCCCAATAAATTATCCAGCCTATATTCCTGTTGCAATCCCGAGAATGCTGAACTAACGGGACCGCTTAGAACAGAGGATTGACGTTCCCCACAGTCAGAAACACCTTTTCTATGATTACCAGAAGCCCCAAATTTCTCTGAATTGATTCCATTAATCCCATTTATGGAATTATTGGAGAACCAAGTTCCATTCATGTCTACAGACAAATCCTCTGGTTCATCACCAATATACATTCTATTAAGATTTCTTAACAAATTTAGTTCATCAGTCAAGTTCTCAATGCCCTTCTTTTCAAAAGGCGAATCGGGCATTCTTGAATCTATCCATAATCCATTTGGGTAATGGGAGCTTTTACAGGGTAATTGGGGTTTGAGCTCTACCAATGGAGGTGGTGTTGGTGATCCATTGTCAGAAACTGAATGCCCACCAGAGAACAAGCTTGAGGAAGAGCCATCGGATTGCAGGGAAAACCCACAAACAGGTGAGGCACATGAATACTTATTATGACTTGATGGGTCATCATCATACATACCATACATCATACCATTCATTGTCTGTGTTACAAATGACCCATGTCCATGGCCACCATTAACATTGTGGCCATTCCTATATGGATGATGAGGATTGAGTGATGTTGCATGAGGGATCTCATCCAACAACATTTCAAGCTCCTCATCATCCTTCATGTCTTCTCTAATTTCCTTCATATTCCCAATCATAAAAAGAACAACAATAAACACCAACAAGAACAACACAACAAAGAACAACAAAATCAGAAACAGCACATAGATTAAGAGCACAGACAATCAAACCAAAACCAAAACCAAAACTAAAACACCCACATCAGATACTGATTCAAAGAGGCGAAATATCAAACACCCAGAAGAGATTACCACTTTTCTTCATCTGGGTTCGCCTCAGATATCAACAATCCAATTGTGAAAATATGAGCCTTTTCGTGATGAAATTCAATTGCATTCCATTTCAAAATCATCTCGTTTGATTTGGGACTTCTTTTGAAGGAGTTTGGTGAATCATGCAAAGATTAAGGATCATACGGTTACATATACAGTATATACACAGAGTGGTACGGTCTCACGCCATTAAAGTGGAGAGAGGAACAGACTCTCTCTCTCTCTATTATATATATAAAACACAGAGAGCAAGAGACACAAAAACACTACTGTAAGTCATAACTCATAGACACTGTATTATAGTTATATAATACAGTATATAAATGCAATTTTTATATTCTTTCTAAGTATAATTCTTTGAAATATCTTAAACTCTGTTAGACTCATACCATGTGTGTTAGCAGAAAAAGTGGCACGTGGGTCCCTCCCATTGGCAATTGAGCTTTCCTGAAATACACATATTCGGTTGGCGCGTGGGAGAGAGTTTTTTATTCTATTTAAATTATTAATAGAAAATTAGAACTATTATTTTAATTCATGTAATTAAAAAAATAAAAAAACAAATAAAACAAAAAATATATGTTCTTCTGTTATTCATCTCCATAGTCAACAACAAATTCTTCTAAATTACCTGCACGTTTACCGGTTAAAGATATGTTTTTTTACGAGATTTGATTCTTTATTAAATGATAAACACGCTCTCTATTTTCTCTCCTTTAATACTTCTTAAAGATAAGGTTACAAATTAGCCATCCTAATCTGATTTATTTTATCCAATTTTCACTTTAATAGATATCAGACACCACTAAAACACAACTTTCCATATGTTACAAGAAAAACTTGTTCCACATTAGATTTGAGGAAATTTGAATGAGGTTGAAATGTATAACTACATAAATGGACAAGCATCTGGTATTAGAGTCAGACTCAATCATTCATTCAGTGTCACGCCCAAACAGCATCTAGGTTTGACCCCAAATAAGCAGGGTGGCCCGACCGCAACAATAAATCGAATTTGAATATGACTAAAATGTGTATAAATAAATAGGTGTACAGTTCTACTCAATAATTTTTTTACCCATTACACCATCCATCGATGCCACTAAAACTCAAGTTCCCCCATCCATCATTTAATTCTTCAATCGTTTGAGACTCCACTCTTTATATATGGTTTTATACTTATCATTCGTCATTTACTCGGAACTTTTTAGAATTATAAATTGATATTGAAATTTTTTTCTTCTTCAAAACTAATTGTAACCTGACAATGTAAATATCATTTGATTTGACTAGTTGGAATGGTTGAAAACCTCGAATGTATAATGTAAATACATTACGTTAAATGTTTAAATTCTAAAACTAAGAAGAAGAATAAATTTTTTACCATTGTATTCATAAAATCACATATTTGAACAGTTAACATAAAATCAAAAAAAAATCATATAATAAGATTTTATCATGTTAGAGCTTCGTAACTTATGGTCATGATCGATAATTTTGACCAGACAATGGATTGATTTGACATTAGGTGAAATATGTATTGTTGTGGACCTTATTAAAAACCCAAATCCAACAGTCATGATCACTATAGGCATTATGGCGTTAGGCATGAGAATACCATACCAATTGAATGGTTTTGTTAAGCAAAGGAAATGTATGATCTTAATTTAATTGTAGTGCAGTTAATTAGTATTATTGTTATCATTATTAAAAAATAAAAATAAATAAATAAATAAGAAAAGTTACAACATGACTGTGTGAGAGGAATATAAATTGACTTGAACATGACTCACTAATGTTTGTTTCTTGGGGATAAAGATAGGGCGTGATGGGTATTTATAAATTTGTGAAGGGCAATTAGGTGGATACTGGTTTAAACTCAAAAAAATATGATATAAACTTTTTAGGTTTCCTTAGCAATAAAGGTATAAGAATACCTTTTAGGCCCACAACTTTGATACTCGTATTCTACACGTAACTTTCATATCTTCGAACCAATCAAATAGAGCCACGTGTAAATTCATATACCTTGTCGAATTGACCAACTACAATTACTTGTCGGGTGAATAATTTTGGATTAAGAACAAGACTATCTTTTTACCTCGGCAAATTATCTCTCTCTCATACATATATATATATATATATATATATTTTTATTTCCTCTGACCTTTAAATGTTACCTAGGAGATAATGAAGTCATTAGTTTCCCTGAGAAATCTAGTGGATTTTTTTTTTTTTTTTTTCTTCTACAACCAGATGTATTAACTAACTAAATTTTATTGAGTTGGTAACATTTTCCTACTTTAGAAAAGAAAGTGATGCAAGGTTCAAACTTCAAAATTTTATTTTATTATTATTATTTTTTTTTGTTCCCATTGATAATTCATACATTTATTATAGTCTTATTGAGACTTAAACTTTAAAAACATATGACTAAAACTTTCAAAAATAAGACTAAAACTTTCAAAAAAGACATGGTTGAATTAGAATCCACGATGTGATAGTTCGAACTTTAAAGTGTCTTTTTTTTTTTTTTTTTTTTTTTTTTTTTCAACATCTTAACTCCTAAGGTGAGATGTATTAAATATAAATTCATACGTGATATATCGTATATGGATAACATGAATGAATTCAAATTCATACATTTTATACTTAAAATCAAGGGTTATGTGGTCTAATGATATTTTCTCTACTTTAAAAAAGTGGATGGTAATAATTTAAGTCTTTAAAAGAACAAAGTATGTGTGTGAGCAGAGTGTGTATGAATTTCTTACCAATAACAAAAAAAATTAAAAAATACCCAAAATTCAAACCAAAGCACAAGTTAAATAAATCAGCAAACTAATGAAGAGCTAATATAAAGTAATACCATCTGGAACAATTATGGCTAATGGTTATTAAGAATTCGTAAATATGTTGTATTAAAACAAAATTTGAACAAATAAGTGGTGCATTTGGGGGCACTTTAATTGTGTGGTGCATGTAGAGGGACGGTATGTATCCGGTAATAAATTATGAAGTGCTCTAAGAGATCCGACACCGTAATCGTAAAACAGAGAAGAAATAAAAGAGAATCTCCACATTATAAATTTAATTCTTTACAACCCTTTTAGGTTAATGAAAACCATAAAAAGTCATATTAATCTCTAACTAAAAATTGCTGTAACAAGTAATATTGTAGAGGTACGATGGAGTCACAGACTCACAATCATTTATTATAGATTCTAGACAGCAAACGTGCCAAGTCCTTATGAAACTTGGATGAATGCTTGAGATTTGGCAGATTGTCCTTTTCCAATATTTATGTATCAATCAAAATTGTTATCAACGAATACATAAAGTGTATCACACAAGTTTCACAACTAATTGAATTATTCACCAAAAATAAAATGACATAATCATAACAAGGTGAATATTACAACATCAATAATTAAATGTCTGATCACCAAAAATTCAATATAATTTGAGAGTAAGTAAACAATACATGTTAGCAAAAAATATATATATAGAATTATTTTTAAATTTTCTTGGTAAATAAAGGACCATTTTCGATTGTGAATGCAAAGACCAAAAAGATAAATAAAATAAACTAAATGAGCGAGAACAAGAAAATGGGAGACACGCGTATTTATCAATTTGGTGATTCAGGCCTATTAGGCACCAAACATGGATAATCCTGTTTTCGGTGTGCATCCGTTGTCTTGTTTATTTTGTTAGCGATGCGATATTAATTTTAATTTGAAGAAAATATTTTTTTCTCAACCCCAATAAAAATTATAACAAGACAGCGCCCCAATTTGATTACACAATAAAATTTAAATAACATTGATAATGATATGAAATTATTATACAATGCTTTCAATTAAGAAAACTCATAGAGAAATATTATAAATGCGTTGGAAGGAGATATTATTAATTAACCATTACTATATTTTTGTATTTATTACTTTGGTTTAAAAGATTTTTAATCTTATTAAAGTTCTAGGTCGCCCCACTAAACAAAATTTATGGTTCTGCCGCTGGGTTATAAAAGATCATTTAATGAGACAACGTAGTCCTTTAGATATTAGGAGACTTGGAGGAAAACAAGCGATAGTGCATGAGGTTGTTTGGGTTTTATTTGAGATATGATTTAAACCAAAAACTTAATTTATCACGTATAAAATTTAATTTAATTTTGAATTTAAAAATGGATCAGTTTTTGTTTTTTTTATTTAGGGCAAATTACAAATAGCACCGTTTTCATCTCATATGCCTAGATAAAAAGTATGCACATATATTGATCAACCACCCTTATGGTTTCATTGACCGAATACATGATCATCATTCTTGAGTGATGCATCGAATGTGTGTGGTAACTATACTTTTGAACAAAAATAACCTTTTTATTGTAAGAAGACCAAATTGCCCATTAATTGAATTGAAATTACACCATTCCAAATGGATAGAAGTACCCTTTTGTTAATGAATCACAATAGACTTTTTTTTCAAAGTTAATTATTATTTTTTTTAGTAGGGCTCTCTCATTGTATTATTATTTCTTTTCAAAATACCCTTTTACATTGAATTTTTCACATGAGCATTATAAATAAATAAAAAAAAAAAATTGCATTAGCAAAACCCTATATAGCGGTCATAACACAAGTTTAATATCAAATATTACATTTCAATTGTAATAAAAAAAAAAAAAAAAAAATTAAAGTAACCCAACATGGATCTGAACAAAAAAAAAAATTATATATTTACAATCATGACAAATAGAAAAAACACAAAATAAAAAAAAAAAAACAATATTATCTCCATAAAAGAGTGATAAAAAAAAAAATCCATTTTTGAATATTAAATGTAAACTCTAAAATGATCCTTCAAAATGTGACAAATAAACATGATCCAGGGTATATATGATTTATTGAAACCTAAAATGACAAATAAATCATAAAAAAATAAAGGAAATATAAGAAGAGGGGTAAAACAGTAAGTTATATTCACCCACCCCCTTTCAGATTTTTCTTTTAAACAAGAGAAAATAGAGGAAACTAAAATAAATAAATATCACAAGTAAATACACATTTTAACTGACATCCTTGAGATTAAAATTTTGTTTTTGTCTCCAAGTATTGAGAAAATATTGAATATTTCGGAGTACTCTATTTAATAAAACGTTTTATAACAACTAGTTATTGGACTATGTACTGCATTCGAGTTTGACTTGTAATAAAAATGAGTTGTGAAATTGTGATATAGAATTATCTAACTGTATTTAGTGGGTAAGAGTTGCAACAATATCATGGATTATAACTCTCTTGAACTCAAATAAATTTTCCATGAAAAATTAGTGAAATTTAAGAGTGACAATTCGTGTTTGTTGATCATAAATATTTCATAAATTTAATAATATTCTACTAAACATGTAAATTTTAACAAGATCAATTTTAAAAATCATATCAGACCCTCAACATTAACCTAACTTATTTATTAAATGAGTTAGACGTGTTTAATGTCTTTTTAAAAAAAAAAAACCTAGACATTTAACACTAAACAATAAATACTAGAAAAAAATATAAGTATCAATCAACCCAAATATTCAAAACAAGAAAGAAAAATAACAAACATTCCATAACCAGGTTGAAATAACTTAATGGTTAAGAAAGTATAATTATGACGCATTGAGAAACTTGCATTAAACGGGTATAAACAGGTTGAATTGAAGCCCTCAATCGTGATTAAGTAAACAAGTTAATTAGGTCAATTTGTTTAAGACCCGAACTCATTTAAGGTCAACTCACACACGCTTATCTCGTATCGTGTTCTAGTTATATTGACGGTCCTACCCAGTAAAATTACACTGTGGATAGGTCCAGAAAGACAAACTCTGGATTGGGTCTGAAAGACAAACCGACCCATTTTAAAACCCAAGCAACTGTCAGTAAAAAGAGAGCAATATAAAGACCAAACTGCCCAAGTCTTCCAGCAACTGAAGGCCATGGAGGAGATAGAAGAGGAGAAAGGGAAGGGGAAGGGAAACGAGAGATGGAACGCCGCGATCGGGAATCTGACGGAGATGGCCAACAATCTGGGATCACTACAGAAGCTACTCATCAAGAAAGCTGTGTACGTCGACGAAGAGACCTTTGCCAAAGCCTCTCTCAGCTCCGAACAAGCCCGAGCAATCAAGGTCTGTGTGTATCATCACCACTTGATTGCACTGTACCTAATTTTCCGATTCTTGATTCCATCTACTGATTGAACTGATTGATTTTATCATCTAGGTCTATATATTTACGTAACTGTATATGATTGGTTTCTTTCAATTGTTCCCCACTTCATTGCGCTGTAGTTGATTATCCGATTCTTGATTCTGTGTACTGACTGATTGATTTTATCATCTAGTCTATATACATAAATACCAGTATGTGATTGATTTCTATCAATTTTGAGCTATGTTTGTTAGCGCAAAGAGGTTTGGATTCAGTGAATATTGCTTAATTTGAAAGATTTTTTGTTGAAGAAAATGGAAAATGAGACATATGAAATACTTGCTAGTTCACTCTCTGACCTGTGTTTTTGGTAGTTTGTTGAAATTGATTGATTTTATCATCTGGGTAATATAGGCATAACCTTTATGTTTCTTTTGGCATGTTTATTGAACAAAGTTGGTTCAAATATAGTGGGTGATGTTTCGATTGTATGGGTGTAGCCACAGAAGTTGGAAAATGGACAGGATGAAGAACTTTTGTTGCTATTTCAGCTCTTTTCGTACTTTGTCCTAATTGATTGATTTTACCATCTGTTTATTTTTCTTTTGAACTTTTATCTTCAATTTTCATGTGAAGTATGAGCTAGGCACAACTTAGTTTAGATGGGCTATGTTCTGAGTTTTCAACTACATATGTTGAAAAATGAATATAGGATCAAAAGAGTTCATTAAAAATTTGATCACATAAGCTAGGTTATTTACATTTATTATTTAAGTACCTATAACTGATATTCCATCTGGGTTGGTGGCACCCCACAAAATCTATGTGTCATAGTTCATACATGTGTACACAATTGGAGACATGCGGCTAATGTCTTCATTGACATCACTTATCAAAACAATGTCTTCATTGGGATCATGATCAATTTATAATGTGGAGTAACTTTGTTTCTGTTCGCAGAAATTTTAAATAATCAATGGAATGACCGCAAAACCAAACCATACACGAAGTCAAAGGAAGGAAAAGCTTCCCAAACACCCCAATTATAGTCAATAGTATCACTCTAACAAGTTACAAATCCTAAAAGTCATTACTTGATTTAAAAAGGCTAGTCCAGTGCATGAGGCTCTTGCCATTGCGGGTTTGGGGAGGGTCAGATGTACGCAGCCTTACCTTCGCATGCAGAGAGGACTCAATTTCTCTGTCACAAATAAAAATGTGTAATAAAAATAGGACTCAATCATGAAATGATGAAAGTATGTGTAATTTCATGCTTTTTCTGTCTTTCCTTGTGTTTCTTAAGATATTTTGAAATGATAAATTATTGAAACTGCATAAATCTGAAATATATATATATATATATATATATATATATATATATATGAGGGGCTTATACTAAATGGTGATTGAGTAATTTATTCCTGGTAGGCGTTTGGCTGCTCGCTTAGGTGATGATCTACGATCTTTGCCTAGGGTATATTGGGCTTATGACAGCTATGATAATATTCTTGTATGTAGTGTGAGGGGCAGAGGCAAAGCACATACAATATTTGTCCTTAATTGGTTGGGCTATTTCAATTTAAAGAAATGTAGTTGAGCTTTGGTTGAAAAACCTTGGTTTGGAGGGATCACTGTTAAACATGTTGGAAGTTGACAGTAGATTATAAGATCAGAAGTGTTTTCTGTTATTTGTTTCTCTGATCTGGTCAGTTTTAAGTCAGTTTGTCTTTCTATCAAATGTGGTATCCCAGTAGGATGTGGAAGCATTTGAGGTTTTCTGTGGTTTTGGCCATAAAATTTTGATCTTCATTCAAAATTTTCATGCATTGTTAATTGGTGTTGCCTATGCAAACAAGATGGTGAGTCAGTTTCTCATATTCTCATGTATTGTCCTGTGGCGAGTGATTGTTGGAATCTTATATTTTGTCTGCTTGGTATGCGTTGGGTTATGCCTCATTATCCTAAGGATTTGATTCGTATTTGGAGAGGATGCCGTGTGAGTAGTTCTATTCGCGATTATTGGAGAGTTGTACCACATTGTGTCTGGTGGTGCATATGGAAGGAGAGGAATAGTAGAATGTTCGAAGGGAAAGAGTCGTCCACGGCGATTCTGAAACTTCATATCATTCGCTTTCTTTTTAGTTACGTGAAAAGAAAATCCTGTTCCTCTCCCGATGATTTTATTATTTTTTGGGATTCTTTGGGGCCTTAGACCCCAATTCCACTTTTGTATAAGGGATGCGAACGCCTTTTTAATTCAATTATTACTTATCAAAAAAAAAAAAATTGATCTTCATTCAATGAAAAATATGTTCCTAACATTTTGCATACTTAATTAACCCTGATTCTCTTCCCACACACAACCCCATATAATATGTATATATAAAATAATATGCATACATATGTGTATGCTGTATTCATGGCCATTCAAAAGTTATGCAAGCAATTTATTGGCCAATGTTACGTATAAATTATAACAGATTGGGATATAGAATGGTTATTTTTCCTTTTTATAAATTATAATGAACACATTTTTATATATTATATAGGTCATATTTTTTTGTCATTGGAACTATCAATTGGTGTCGGAGCATATTGATTGTTAGACTTATCATACAGAAAATTTTAACTTATCATAACATTGGGCTACTCAATTTATTTGTTTTTGTCAACGATTTTGCAGCGGGTCAAGCAAATCCTTTAAAAGCATGTGGATAGTTTCTTTATAAGAATTAGAATTAAAAAAAAAAAAAAAAAAAAAAGGATGATACTCAGAAACCATGCTAGATCTCAGTGTTTAAATGCAGTTTTTGCTCTTGATACTTTTATTTACAAATTTTGTTGTCAAGCTTGCTCGTTTATTTAGCAAAATCGATAAAACTCAAAATTCTTGCGAATTGGCTGATTTCGATATGTGATAGAACAGGAGAAGACATGTGGTCCCTCAGGTACTCAGACGTGGCAAAATCTGACACATTAATACCCTAGTGAAATAAATAAGAGACCCTAGAGAATACGTGTCAAGTCAACTGAAGTCAGTGAACCCATTACCAGATGATGGTCTTGTAACATATAAGGATTGCAACAATTACCCTTCAAATGTTCCCAGTAACTGAAAAGCAATAAGGCTGTGGTTCATGGACACTCTGATCCAGAGGAAGTACACTATCACGAACAATACGCCACATCGCATAACAAAGCTCTTTGACCAGATGAGCAGTTAATACTTGCCTTAGTCTTATGGCAATAATCATGGGGCTCCTTTTTTTTTTTTTTGATAAGTAATAATCATGGGGCTCCTTGAGCTTGTTGTGCAGCATTGCGTGGTAGTCCAACAATTATGGTGCTCCCCTTTCGTGCTTTACGATCTTCTTGATGATGGTGTGATCCATGACAATGCATTGTAGTCTTGCAATTGAATCGTATCCATTTCATCATGGTGCGTTATGAACTTATGATTGCCTCGATTACAATATGACTCGATATCACATTGTAACTGCATGATTGTAATGTTCCCTCTTCTATGGTGCATTATGATTGCCCCGATTGCAATATGATTTGATATCACATTGTAACCCCATGACTGCAATGTGCCCTCTTATGTGGTGCGTTGGGGTGACTGCCCAATTATGGTCTGATTTTGGCATTGCATTGTAATCCCATGATCTCATTGTATTTCCATCTAAGGTACATTGCAATCCAGGCAATTCTCATGTGATATATGATATTGTACTGCGGTCTCACAATAACGGTGTATTTGGCAGTGCCTTGTGATCCAATTGTCCATGGCAGAATTTATGATGTTCCCTTGTAGTCCTTGTGGTCGTAGTTTGAGTGCACACGTGCTAAACACCAGTGATCATAGTGTGGTCAATGCACTGTGTAGCATCCCGACCACGACAGGGCCCAGGCTATATCTTCTTAATACGAGGTCAAGGTTGAGTTCAACCCAGACATGGGCAGCATTGCTCATAGCGGGTTGGGCTTGGTTGACCCTTCAACCCACCCAGCCCGCCCTAGTTGCACACTTAGATATCTCCAGTCGTCGCCCTTTTAGTATTCTGTCTTTCTCCCAACTGTGATCTCTCAAGGGTGTTGTTCATCATACTTTGCATCTCTTATCATTCTCGAACCTCTACATCTATAATTCTGAATCATCTTACTCAAAAGAAACCCCCTAGAAATACACTAAATATGATTTCAAATTTTACTAATATATTTTCTGACCGACATTTGCTTGATCTTACATACTATGCTTTAATAGAGTGCAGTTCCTCCGGGGGTATCGTTGTGGTTTAATTGTTGAAAATACACATGTTTTATCAAGAGGATCATATATGATAACCTCTCTTTTCGAGTGCAGGTTCTTGAACAGAGGGTAGAGACTTTAGAACGCGAACTTGATGCTGCCATTTCAGCTGCTGCTCGTGCGCGGTCAGAGAAACGACAGGCTGAGGCAGCACAAAGGGCTGCTGAACTACGGACACAAGAAGTTACAAGAGAGCTTGAAAACACCACAAGTATGTGCACTTTATCTCTTTAGCATCTTACGCAATAAATTTATCAGAAAATCCATGTGAGGTAAATTATATTGGCTTCTAGACTCAGAGCACCTAAATTATCTGTAATCTCTGATATTGATTTGCTCCTCCTGGGCAACCAACATGGGTGGACGATATAATGGTAATCCTTTTGTTGTGATCCTTTTGTTGTGATCTTAAGATGGGAAGAACATCACATGACACAAACACAATCCCTCATTCAATAAATACATTATTTATAAAATATTGATTTACGGGCTTGCTCCTTGTATAACGATGCCTTCCCTGTAATGACAAACACTGGCCCCGTAAGTGTTCTTATTTTCAATTTTATTCCCGTCTATAGTCATTGAGTTATGGGCTTTACACTCGACAGTTCCTCAATCACAACCATTCTGGGGCCAACAACCACCTTTTTCTTTTCTTATTTACCAATCAGCCCTCCTGTCCATATATCTGTAGGGTGCCTGGCAGTGATGTAGGCTAGTTTGGCGTTGCTGTTGAAACAGAAGAAACACATTTGTCAGTAGAGTTGTCTTAAAATTGCCCAGACATATTAGTTGTTTGGTGATACTTTTTATAATGTACTTTTTAATTTGTTTGGTAACAAAATTGCTTAAAGCACTTCTATTACTACTGTTGCCCTTTAATATAGTGTTTTTATATTTATGCACCAACAAACATGTGCACTGAGGGATAAAATTCTCTTCACAAATAATAAAATGGGATTTGTCTAAGAAAAAGAAGGTTAAAAACAAATGTAGAACCTCTCCTCAAAACACAATTTTAAAAACTTCAAATTTTAGCTTCAATCAAAAGCTTTGGTGAGCTTTTCGTTAAAAAAAAATCTAGAAGTAAAATTTTCTCTTACATGTTTCATTCTCGAATGCAGAAGTATTTGAACTGCACATGGAAGAGTTGCGTGCAAAGCAAGAAGAAATCTCGAAGCGAGATAATGAAATTAAACTTCTAGAAGCTATCATCCAGACACTTGGTGGTAAGCAGTCACATTCTATGTAAGACCTTTTGTTGTGAGTGTAGATCTTGTCACATTATATCATTTTCTTGTAAGATCATAGATAGGTATGTTTATTTGTACTTTTACAAAATTACACTATTTTCTCAATGCAAGAAATGCTTTGTTTATTGTAACGAATGTCTTGATTTCTTCCAAGCAATCTTCTTTTGCCTAATTGACTGGGTGGGTTGAATTCTCTATCTTTTTGGTGGAACATCATTAGGCAGAATCTTTTGACACTAATACTGTCAATGCATAATCCAAGGAGTGCATTTTACCTGTGTGTCCGAACTAGAAACTAGTCGAACTACAACCTCTATGCAAACTAATTCAGTCTCTCTCTCTCTCTCTCTCTCTCTCTCTCTCACACACACACACACACACACATTGTTCCTTCAGCATCGTGTGTGTTACTTTTTAAAACATTTTTGCCTTGAAATATTTTGTTGTTGTAATTGAGAAGAAATGTTCCATTCTATGAATGCTGTGTTGAAAATTGTTCAGAAACGAGAGAGGCAAAAATGTTTTAAAAAGTAACACACACGATGCTGAAGGAACAATGTGTGTGTGTGTGTGTGTGTGTGAGAGAGAGAGAGAGAGAGAGAGAGCAAAAACATATATACTGTATTTCAATATCCTAACCAAATAAGCCTGTGTAGGCTTATATATAAGGGTACAAGTCTTGCATAATAACACAAGGGTCATATTAACTAAATATAATTACATAATGACCCAACATATATATAAAACTTCTAACACTCCCCCCCAAGCTGGAAAATATATATCAAATAATCCCAGCTTGGAACAGATAGTTCCTAACCGATTATGACCCAATGCTTTGGTAAACATATCAGCTAATTGATCTTCAGACTTCACAAATGGAGTAGAGATGCTTCCACAAAATAATTCTTCTCGAATGAAGTGACAATCAACTTCAATATGTTTGGTCCTCTCATGGAACACATGATGCAATGTGAACTGCTACTTGATTATCACAGAACAATGGAGTAAGAGCTTCAACTGTCAACCCTAGTTCTTTTAGAAAATGTTGTATCTATGTCAACTCACTAGTGGTATAGGCCATTGCCCTATACTCAGCTTCAGCACTAGATCGAGCTACCACCGTTTGCTTTTTACTTCGCCATGTAACTAGATTTCCTCCTACAAATGTGCAGTAGCCTGTAGTAGATCTCCTATCTGAAGGAGAACCAGCCCAATCGGCATCTGTAAAACCTTCCACCCTGAGATGACCATTTGGTTTATATAGTAACCCAAAACTTGGAGCTTGCTTGAGATATCGGAGAATCCGAAGAACAACAATCCAATGTGGCATTCTAGGGGCTCCCATGAACTGACTTACAACACTAACAGCATATGAAATATCAGGTCGAGTGATAGTAAGATAAATTAATTTCCCAACAAGGCCACGAAATCTGCCTGGGTCATTAAATAGATCACCCGCATCAGCTACAAGTTTTGTATTTGAATCCATAGGAGTATCAACCGGACGACCACCTAACATACCTGTTTCTTCTAATAAGTCCAACACATACTTGCGTTGGGATAAACTTATACCCGTCTTGGATCTAGCAACTTCAATACCCAAGAAATACCTAAGTTTACCCAAGTCTTTAGTGTGAAATTGATATTGCAGAAACAACTTCAATTTAGCAATGCCTTCATAATCATCACCTGTGATCACAATATCATCTACATACACCACAAGAACTATGACGCCAGCTTTAGTGCGCTGGTGAAATACCGAATGGTCAGTCTGACACCTGTGAAGACCAAACTTTAATGCCGCCTCAGAGAATTTTCCAAACCAAGCCCGTGGAGATTGTTTCAATCCATACAAGGCCTTGTTAAGGCGACAAACAGTGTGAAGATACTCCCCCTGAGCAATAAACCCAGGTGGTTGCTCTATATAAACCTCTTCTGCTAAGTTACCATGCAAAAATGCATTTTTAACGTCTGACTGAAACAGAGGCCAATGTCTATTAGTAGCAAAAGAAATCAAAACACGAATAGAAGAAATCTTAGTAACAGGGGCAAACGTCTCATCATAGTCAATACCATAAGTCTGGGTATAACCTTTGGCAACAAGACGTGCTTTTAAACGCTCAACGGACCCATCTGGAAGATACTTCACAATATATACCCAGCGACAACCAACAGGTTTGGCACCTGGAGGTAATGGACCAAAAGTCCATGTGCCATTCTTATGCAAAGCATCCATTTCATCTTGCATTGCTTTCCTCCAGCCCGAATCAAATAAAGCATCCTGCACAGTCTTAAGAACAAATGTAGTAGACAACTTAGAGGAAAAACATGAGAATGATGGCGACAAGGAATTATAAGAGACACAATAAGCAATAGGATGTTTAGTAACACATGAGCGAGGAGCTTTACGAAGTGCAATAGGCAATGAATCAGACACAGTGGAATTGTCGGATCCAAAGACTCTGAAGATGATGGAAGAGGCACGACAGCAGATGGCTTTGGTCTTCTTTTGTACACCTGTAACGGGGCAGGTGAAGGAGAGCTGGGTTAAAGAGAAAGTAAGGGAAGGGGAACCACAGGAAGAGGCGACTCAGGAGTGATATCAAGAAGTGAATCATTATTTGAAAATATGGGATGGACTCATAAAAGGTTACATCCGTGCTAATAAAGTACCGTTGAGAAACACGACTATAGCAACGATAACCTTTATGAGAACGAGAGTAGCCAAGAAAGACACATTTTGTGGCACGTAGGTTTAGTTTATCAAAACTAGGACCAAGATTGTGGACATAAGATACACATCCAAAAACCCTAGGAGGAAGAAAAAACAAGGGAGAAATAGCAAATAAGATAGAATATGGAGATTTACCATCTAATACAGATGACGGCATACGGTTAATAAAATGACAGGCAGTAAGAACAGCATCACCCCAAAACCGTTTAGGCATACGCATATGAAACAAAACAGCCCGGGTTACTTCTAAGAGGTGTCGATTCTTACGTTCTGTAACTCCATTTTGTTGAGGAGTATAAACACATGAATTTTGATGAATAATTCTTTTATCACTAAGATATGTATCAAAAGGGTTTGAGGAATATTCCTGAGCATTATCAGAACGTAGCATACGAATTAGGCAGCCAAACTGAGTTTTGATTTCTTTTTGAAATTTTTGAAAAATTAAAAATAACTCAGAACGATCTTTCAATAAAAACAACCAAGTCAGGCGAGAATAATCATCCACAAATGTCACAAAATAATGAAATTTATTGATTGAAGAATGTTTTATTGGACCCCATATATCTGAATGAACCAAATGAAAAGGACTAGATACACGGTTATTAACCCTAGACTTGAAAGACACGTGATGGTGCTTATTAAGTTGACAAACTTCACATGACAAGAATTTTAAATGACTAAGACTAGGAACTTAACGCTTCAAAACTTGAAGTAACGGGTGACCAAGACGACAATGCCACTGGAATGGAGATAGAAAAGACTGAAGAGCCATAGGATAGGTTTCCAAATCAAAATAATATAAGCCACCAGCTTCATGCCCCGTACCAATCTTCTTCTTTGTCTTGAGATCCTGAAACACACGAGAAGTAGGATCAAATGTAACAGAGCACTGGAGAGATTTAGTAAGCTTACTGATAGATATTAAATTAAAGGGAAACTGTGAAACATATAAAACAGATGAGAGAGACAAGGAATTACTAAGTTGAGGTGTCCCCAACCCTGAAACCTGAGTGGATGAACCAGTCACAAGAGTAACACTTTGAGAAGGAGGTACAGAATTAAAATCAGATAGAAGAGAAGAACATCCAGTTATATGATCGGATGCTCCAGTGTCTATAATCCAAGGACTGCGAGTGGAAGACAATAGACACGTGTGTGTAGTACCTGACTGGGCAAAGGTAGTCGTGGAAGATGAATTAGATGCTTGCTTATAAGACAAAAACTGAGTATACTCATCCCGTGGAACAGGGACTGTTTCTAATTCAGATACGTTATGAGATCCAGAAGTAACATCATTCGAAGAGGAGGAAACTTGATTAGCATAACCAGATGGTTTGCCATGAAGGTCCCAACAAAACACAGTATGATTAGAAAGGCCACAATGAGTACATTTTCGTGATTCCCTGCCACGACCACGTCCTCCCCTTGAATCACGACCACCACGTGTGGAGCATCCCCCACGACCTTTACTGTAAGCATTATGTTCACCCTTTGAAACTACCAATGCTGAATGCTCACCACTCTGCCCAGTATTCACATTAGAGGTGTCACTTGCAAGTGTAGCGCGTTGAAGTCTAGAGAACACCTCAGCAAGAGATGGAAGTGTGGGACTGCCCATAATCTGTGCACAAAAAGGCTCATATGTTGATGACAGACCGGTGAGAAAACGGACAACATTAAAGTCCTCACGCTGTTGTTGCATACTTCGAACATCAGCAGTAATGGGCTGATACATATTCAGTTCCTCACAAACTCCCATAACTTTAGAATAATACTCCTCTATACTATGATTACCTTGTTCAAGATGGAAGTACTGTTTACAGAGCTCATAAACACGACTAATATAACCTGTCCCAGAATACAATTGCTGCAATCTGTTCCATATCTCTCTCTGGCAGTATTCAAATAAAGTAAAGTTGTACTGATTTGTGGTTCAATACTGTTTAACAGCAGAGAGATGATCTGAGCATCTTTCTTTTCCCATGCATCAAACGTAGCATCAGTTTCCTTAGGTTTATCTTTAGTCAGATGATTACCAAGACCTTTGCCTTTGAGAAAAATTGAAACAGATTTAGCCCACAGTATGTAATTCTTCCCATTCAGTTTAACTGAAGTCATGGGGGAATGAAGAGATAATGCAGGTGAAATCAAATCTGAACTGGACGCCATATTGAATCCAGAAAAACAGAGAAGAAGAATAAAAAAGAGCAGAATTTGTATTCTGGCCGAACTTGGAAACGGGCCGGATCTGGGCAAACGGGCTGGATCCCTGGAAACGGGTCAGATCTGAGCAAACGGGTTGGGCTTGGGCAGACGAGCCGAATCTGGGCTATCCCTGGTTTAGTAAACCGGAATTGGAATAGCTATCCCAGGTTTAGTAAACCAGGGTTAGGA